TATTACAAATCTAGCATCAACCAGAGATGAAACCAGGAGTTTAGGCCGTTCCTTGGCATCAACATCTGGTGAACAAGTAAGAACCGACTTGGAAAATTGTATTACAAGTCTAGAATCAACCAGAGGTGACACCAGGAGTTTAGGCCGTTTCTTAGGATCAACATCTGGTGAACAAGTAAGGACCGAATCGGAAAATTGTGTTACAAATCGAGCATCAACCAGAGGTGACACCAGGAGTTTAGGCCGTTCTTTGGAAACAACATCTGGTGAACAAGTAAGGACCGAATCCGAAATTTGTATTACAACCAGAGGTGACACCAGTAGTTTAAGAGGTTCCTTGGGATCAACATCTGTTGAACAAGTAAGGACCGAATCGGAAAATTCTATTACAAGCCTACCAACAACCAGAGGTGACACCAGAAGTTTAGGCCGTTCCTTGGCATCAATATCTGGTAAACAAGTAAGGACCGAATACGAAAATTGTATTACAAGTCTAGAATCAACCAGAGGTGACACCAGGAGTTTAGGCCGTTCCATGGGATCAACATCTGGTGAACAAGTAAGGACCGAATCGGAAAATTGTATTACAACCAGAGGTGACACCAGGAGTTTAGGCCGTTCCTTGGGATCAACATCTGGTGAACAAGTAAGGACCGAATCGGAAAATTGTATTACAACCAGAGGTGACACCAGGAGTTTAGGCCGTTCCTTGGGATCAACATCTGGTGAACAAGTAAGGACCGAGTCGGAAAATTGTATTACAACCAGAGGTGATACCAGTATTTTAAGAGGTTCCTTGGGATCAACATCTGGTGAACAAATAAGAACGGTATCGGAAAATTCTATTACAAGTTTACCAACAACCAGAGGTGACACAAGGAGTTTAGGCCGTTCCTTGAGATCAACAAGTGAGTTACGAGTTAGGACCGAACCCGAAGATAATATTTCAAGTATCTTTCAAAATCCAGTACCAACCACAAATGGCACCGGGAGTTTAAGAGGTTCTTTACCATCAATAAGTAGGGAAATTACAACCGAATCTGAACAAATGTCTACTCAAATACCTGAGAAAGATACGACTTTATCCAATGCATCCACCTCAGCAGAAGAAACCATCAAAGTGGAAATAAAATCGGAGCACAATTCATCTGATGATGATGATGGCAATGATGATGATGATGATGATTTCGGGGAGGAATCGGAAATGTCAAGGGATCTTCTAGAATTGAGTCAACGATGCCGAGACTTAAGCCAAAATGAAACCGGCATTGATCGCAATGAGAATTATTCTGATGCTATACAAATTATGTCAGGTAAGTGGAAACTAGTGAAAACTTGTAGATTTATAAGGGAAATTCTGCCTTATAAAATAATATAGTCATGGCAATGCTATCTTATGCTTGTTAGTAAAACTGTGAAAATGTTTATATATTTGCTGTGCGATCAGGCGTATTTTATATATAAACTAGTGGTGTATGGCATCGTGCCTTAAGGCAAATTATTGGAACTTCCCGTACCGTAATGAAATATTCGAGAAATTTTAAACGTTTTCAAATATATTACAAATACTGTAACTTTCATTATTTTTCCTATCTTGTTATATCTGAGCAAATCAAATGTAAATCATAAATCAATTTATCTCCAAAACATTAACAATCGCCGTTTCATTTCGAATTTTAAAAAAAATAGTTGCCTAGTTTACACAAAATTAAAACGTGCTCCCGCATAGTCACAGTCTAAACGCATTTACAAATAATTCTGTGCGACATTTTTCACTTATACTGTGCTTAGCTTCGCGGCATTTTCACATTTTTCATAGTTTTCACAAATTGGAAAATTCTCCAGACACAAAACAGTCTAAACGCACTTGGGTAAACATTTTTACCAGAGTAGCGCTTAGACTGTGCTTAGCCTGGGTAATTTTTTGAATTTTTAATCCAAAATTACAAAAATATTTTATGGAAAATAAAAAAAGATGTAATAATTTTTTATCCTCAAAAGCAATTGTTTTGTCAATATAAACAGAAAGTTTTTTAGATCATTCAAATCGGATGCTTAGTTCACTCAAAAACTGCCATTTTTTGCACATTTAGCTCTGTATCTTCGAAATGGCGGGACCTGTCTTTGCCAAAAACTAATCACCTCTTCTCCCAAATCATTACAAATTGAATGTTTTTTAGATCATTCAAATCCGATACTCTGTTCTCTCAAAAACTCGATTTGTACTTTCTGCACTCTTTGCTCCGTATCTCCGTAACGGCTTGACCTGCCTTTGCCAAAAACTAATCAGCACATCTCCCTATCAATAGGTATCGAATGTTTTTTGAAACATTCAAATCGGTTGATCCGTGCGCCCGAAAACGTGGACGAAAAAATGCGGACATACAAAACACACACACACATTCATTTTTTCTGAGGTATGCCAAAATGTTCAGAAACCTTCAAAACGTCGAGAAATGCAAAAATGTTCATTTTCGATTTTCGGCCTATTATTATAACTACCCTACGGGAAGTTAATAAAGCAAGAAAAAATCTCATAATAACTGCACCATCTACAATTCTGTTATCATAAATACGCCTGATAGCACAGTAAATAGTTAGACATTTTCACAGTTTCTCTACCAATAAACAAGCATAAGATAGTGTTGCCATGACAATGCTATTTTATGAGAAAGAATTGCCCAGTTAATAAATCGATCTATGATTAATTTATCCATCTCTTGATTTGTCTGTCTTGTTCTAGATCTTACCAAATATTTGGGCAAAGATCAGATCCTGCAGCTTGCCAAGTTGCAGCAGAATAAAGATTTCAAAAAATTAATGAAGAGAGAAGACCTGAACAAGAAGGCAAAACATCGAATGATCAATATTTACGAAACACGCGACCACTTGGTGACCCAGTTCAAGTTGGCTATGTCCATTTTGAACAAGTTGAGGATTCTTCATAGGTAATCATCTTATATATAAAAATGTAGCTCTCGCTAAATGATCAGCTAAAACTCGAAAACGGCTAAACCGATTTGGCCAGTCTTAGTATTGAAAAAAACGTGCTAATCAGTAGGTTGTCGGAAAGGTGAGATGTTATTTCAAAACCGCGTAGAAACTTTACATTTTTAATTTGAACATTTTTGTAGAAGTGTATTTTGAATAAAACAATGGGCGGTGGCTAATACGTCAAATGTCAAACGATTTTGACAGATTATGTTCAATTACGTTCAATAAGATGTTTTACGTGAATATTATTTAATTATGATTAAATTGTAGTAAGTAGTTTTATTTATATACAAAAACGTTAGTAAACGGGCCGCAAATGTTACTAGAAACTCAAAATATCAACTTTTTTCAAATGTTAATATGAAAATGCACTTTTTGGCATATTTTTCTCAAACACGGTGCTCTAACAGATCTCATTTGTATATTTATATACTCATTGGTATTGATAAAACATTTTCTAGGTTATATTATGTTTTATTTGTGTTATTTAAATTCAGAACCTAAACTTGGTATAGATCAAAGGGACATTTTGTCGAATAATATTTTCCCAGTTATAATTCCCAGAATTTATCGAAGAATAGATAGTAATATATGAAGGTCCGGGGTTAAAAAGGTCCACCACCGATGTGTCAAAAACCAGTACAATTAAGCATTGTTTAACAAAAAAATTTGAAAGTATAGGGGAAAAATGTATAACCAGTTATAACCTTGATTCTCATGACTTTGCTATCGGGAGATAAACGGCAATCTTTGAAAATCTAAAATAAAAGTATTTTCTAGTTTTTAGGCATTAGT